GATTGAGGGGCAGCAGCAGGGATGGGGGGGCTGCAGGTTGGGAGTGAGGTGTCCCCTGGCAGGAGTCCTCTTTTCTGGAACTGGAAATTTGGTAGCCAGGATGTGGCACTGATAAACCCATCACCGCATCCCTAAGTACTGTGAGAACAGCCTTCCTGACTGAGATGGGCCAGCACTGTCACAGACGCAGACGTGGCACCCATTTCCACCAACTGGCAGAGGCCAGGGCTGAAATTGGGCCCTGGAGCTACAGCACATAGGAGGCTTGTTCTCACCTGCCTTAGGACCCTCTGGCGCTTTGGGGAAACATCCCCCATCCGCCACGCACATGCCTGGGCCAGCCACGACCCCGTACCCGTTCCTGTCCAGTGGTTCAGAACAGCCCCGCTTGGCGAGCCAGAGGCCGAGGCAGCCTCCTGCCCAGACAGGCCTGCTGGGTCCTGTCTGAGGGGCCCATGTGGGAATTTTGCCTTTGATCCCAGGCAGGAACGTGACCCAGACTGGGCCTGCGCTGCTGAACAGCACCTGAAGGGCTGGGCTTCATCACGGCAGGCGCAGCCCAGGTACAAGGCCAGAGGTTCCTGCCTCAGAGCCTTCCTAGACTGCTTGTGGCTTCATAAGGCTTTGCTGGATGTGCCCTGCCCGCAGTCACAGAGGCACCAGGCCAGCTTTCCTCCCAGCCCAGCTCCCATGGTGGTGAGAACCCTAGTGTAGACAAGACTCTGGGGGGCCACTCCCACGAGAGGGGAGCAGGCCAGGCTGCGGGAGGGGATCCCAGATGTATCCACAACGGCCTGGGTAGGGCAAGGGTGCTTCCCAGCAGCCACCCCCTGGAGCATGCAGCCAGGCCTTCTGCACCTGCCTACCCCTGCTTGGATCTGCACCTGGCTGGCACCGCGGCCTGGGATCCCTGTGCCCCTAGGTCCCTGCATCTGGTGCAGTGCACAGCAGGAGGAGATGGCAGATCACCACCAACCCCTCATTGCCCCTCCTTTGCAGCCAGTATAACCCTATGTGTCCTTCAGGCATGTGGGGACATGCCACAGCTGGGAGGGACCTTGGGCCACGGGTCCTTTCCCTCATTAGCAGGTGTTCACAAGTGCCAGGAAT